TCCCTCGCTAGCTGCCGCCGGTGGAGTTCGCGTGGTCTGGCTGCGAGCTTCCCCGAAGCCCCGTGCTGACCGAAGCTGATACACACTACCTGAGAAACAGCTGGTTACCTAATGCTTCAACATAGTGAAGAGGAAGCTGCGCTCACAACTTGAGATAGACCAGCTGCACATTACTTCCCGAATTCAAGAACACCTGGAGGAAAACCTGGATGTGCAGCCAACACCTGAAGCTAGAACGTCTCTGCCACCCCCTCCATTACAGAGCACAGCAGCTGATATGAGGCATAAGATCATGGATAAACTAGCTACAGTCAACCCTCGAGACTGGTTACCAAGGCTCAGTGGAAAAGTATCATCAGATAGTATGCTCAAATCAGTGAACTGGTATATGCTACAGCTGCTGTGATCCTGGAGATGCACATGATCAAGAAGAACAGCAGTACATACCCTCACTAGAAAATGAGATTGGAGGCTAAGGTCAGGGCAACTTGGAGAGAAGTCAGTCAGCTGGTAGAACTACAGAAGGGTGTGGAGATTAAGAATAAGACTGGGCTACTGAAAAAATACAAGGGCCTGACTCCATCTGAAGCCCCAGAGATCACTAAATGAAGGCTGACAGCATTGGCTACCAGGCTAAGGAAATACACTAGAGAAGCAGAGGCCAAGAAGATAAATGCCATGTTCTCCAAAGAACCATCCAAGGTGTACTTCCAACTGCAGTGCAACCACACAGTAATAGCTGAGCCACCAGGAGCAGAACCTGAACAGTACTGGAAGAACATATGGGAGAAAGAGAAGACACATAACACCAGTGCAAAGTAGCTGCAGGACCTGAGAGCAGGCCACAGCAATCTCCCAGAACAGGAACCAGTCACCATCACAGTAGTAGACATCCAACAGCGGGTCAAGAACATGAAGAACTAGATAGCACCTGGCCTGGACATGATCCACACCTACTAGCTAAAGAAATTAATGCCTAGCAGCACAGATGAATCAGCTTCTTGCAGCAGTTCCCACCCAAACTGGCTAACACAAGGAAGGACAGTGCTGATCATGAAAGACCCCCACAAGGGGGCAGCACCATCCAACTACTGGCCAATAACTTGCCTCCCCACAACATGGATAGTCCTAGCAGGCATCACAGCTGCCAAGGTACAGGACAATATGGGCTACTACGCACAGCTCAGAAGGGCATTGGGAACAACACCAGAGGTTCAAAACACCAGTTGCTCATAGATAAAGCAGTCGCCCAAGACTCAAGGTCTAGATAGACCAATCTGAGCACAGCCTGGATTGACTATAGGAAAGCCTATGACTCAGTGCCACACACATGGATCTGTGAATGCCTGGCACTAAACACAGTCAACGGGACACTAAGGATCTTCCTCAAGAACTCAATGGGACTGTGGAAGACAACACTAGAAGTCAACTCAAAACAGCTTGCACAAGTGGCCATCAAACGCAGCATATACCAAGGTGTGATGGACTGGAATGGAGGAAGGGGGGTGAAAACAGTGCTCTCGTCTCCAGAGCAACACTCAGAAGATAAGCGGAGGAAGCTGGCGCATCCCTAAACATTCCAGATGATAGTGAATAGCTGTGCCTGGGAACT